CCCAATGTGTTGACATAATGGCAGCAACAATGGACTCAAACATAACAAAAATTATGAGAACAATGCAGGACTTGGCATAGGGTGACTATGAGTTGGAACTGTCTGGACAGTATCTAACAACAACAATTTTGCATTAATTTCAAGTATATTGTTTTGTCTTGAAACATAAAATAGTTCAATCTAAACATGTAATCTAAAAAAAGGTTTTCAACATTGTCAGTAAGACGTTTTGGCTGGGTAGGTCTTTGATATGGGGCTGTCCAGCATATTGAAAGATTTTAGCTGGACCTCTATTCATAAGATGCCCATATAGTCATGGCAACCAAAATGTGTCCAAACATTGCCAGATGTTCCATGGGGAGGCAAAATCAACCCCGATTAAGAGTGAATGTTGAAATGCACAGTATCTCATTTGAAGTAGTCTCAGAGTTCGTTTACATTCCTGTTATTATGAGTTATCCAAAAGCAATAAACATCCATATATACATTAAAGAGAGCTTGAGAGCAAGAAACAAAGCAGTAGAGAAAGACAGAACCTTTGAAACTCTTGACAAGTATCAGTGAAAATATTAATTTTCTAGTTCAAAATCTAAAACAATGTGAGAGAGTAACTTCTGAGCAAAAGTTGCATTTTCAACGTCCCTTCAAAAAGAAATAATTTTGGCTGCTGAAAAAATATCAGTAATTTACTAGAAATTTCATATGAAAACAATCATTAAAAAAAAGTTGATATCAATGAAATCTTACTTTTTTCTATGGTACTTCCTGGTACTCTTTGGTCTCGTTCTTTAGATGGTGCATTTGCTTTACAAGATTCAACGATACATGGTTTTATTGATGAAGATGAAGATTCTAAAGCACTATAAGAATCATACAAATCCCAAGCAGTGGACAGTATGCCTAAGTAGAGACAGAAAGTGAAATTACTTTAAACATTTTAGCTTAAATGAGGGTAAATCTAAATGTACTGTAAAAAACCACAGAAATCTTTATTACACAAAATTATCAAAATTTGAATCTATTGTTTGTTGACATACTCTCCATCTAAGTCTATACACTCCTGAAGGTAATACTTCTATTTCTCCAAACCTCCCCTGAACACTTCCACATTCTTCAGTTTACACCACATCAAAATGGTAGCTTTGGCATCCTCAAGGGATTCAAATCATGTTCTTTTTAAATGTTCTTTGAATTGGGGGAAGAAAAAGAAGTGTAAAGGGGCAAGATCAGGACTGTAGAGTAGATGGAGTAAGATTTCCCAGTGAAATTTTCATAGAACAACCCTGTTATCTTTGAAGAATGAACAGGTGAACTTTCATGATGGGAAAAAATTCCTCAGCGCAACTCTCCTAGCCTTTTTCTCACTGATGCAGTGTTCAATTTTAAGATTTCTTC